CTTCCGATCAGTAACTCAAACACTAACTTGTTTAGCAGGATCCCTCGTTGTCAATTAGGCTTTTGCAAGAGCCCCGTGTATAATTTTCCTATTTAGGCAGGACTAAAGAACAACGTAATAAATTCCTGAAGAGAGGAATAGACTGAGGGCAGTGAATACTGCTGCATATTCTCTGCTGTACCTTCCCCCCCGTGCTCTGCACCTGCACATACAGACTGATGACAGATTATATATTAATTGTCCCTCACAAGTAGTGAGTATCTGGACAGGTCTGGTATGTTATAGGAGTTTGTCAGCAAACAGTCATGTTCTGACAGTTCAGGTAATTGTATTTATTAGTCTCCTTGTAATGGGAAAGCTCACTGACTGAAAAAAGTCATTAGGATCTCCTAGGTAAAAACCCTTAAGAGTGCTTTTGAACAACCGCATTGTACTTTTCCTTCTAGGCCTATTTACTCAAAGTATTTGAAACATTTATTCTTGCTTCAATTTAATCAACTGAAAAACTGGATGTATTATATATATTTCTTACTCTTTCTAGCGGAAAAACAAAACCAACTTTCATTCCAGAGATCTCCCTAACAACTTCTGAAGGAAGACATCCTGCCCAAAAATTCATCAGGTCTGGTAGGAGCGTAAGTTTTCCAGACTTCTTCAGTGACAAGAATAAGAAGGCATAACATTTCACAAGATGGTTCCAGCAGACCAACAGAGCACTTGTGCCCGAGCTTCTTCCTCCTCCTTGATATGGCTACTGCATCCTATCAGTTGTGTTGTCACCAAGCAATTCAGTCAGGGACCTTATCTAAACATGGTTATTTGTAGATAAATAGGGCATGGATTCTAGGTGGGCACGGGTAACCTTAGAGAACCTCAAGCTGTTTCCAAGTTGTTGAAACAGATGTTTTAGAGAAAATAAGATGACAAAGCCATGTTTCCATTAGTTCTGAAAGGGAGAAAAATCTCTGCAATAGGTGCTAACCTTTACATTACTAAACAGCACTGTCCAAGTTCTGCAATTTCTTAGTATTGAAAACTGTCAGATGTTACCAGATGCCACCCACAGACTTCTCAAGGCATACCAGGGCTCAATGCCTAACCTGATTCACATCTGGAACTACATAAAACAAAGTATCTGTTCTCATAACATGCAGGTGGTACATAGTTTAAAAAAAAAAAAAATCACATGGCACATGACTTCCTCTTTTCCTAAGGAAGCGGATCAGCTATGCAAACTATATTACCACACAATTCACCTCAGACTGACACAAAAATCAGATCATACCCAACAACTGAAGGGTCACACAGCTCACTGACGTTTGCAGATGCTTCTGAAATCTGACGCTAGATACTTGGTTTAAGAGGTACCAAGAAATTTCTGAGAAAATTCCCTTCCAAAATGAAAAGATGACACTTTCAGATTCAAAAATCCCACTGCAAAATGCTCCAGTAGGCCAAATTTGTAGTTAAACAGTGAACTCTGGAGAGAACAGAAAAAAACATACAAAAAGAAGTAAAACCCAATAGTTCTTCCTGAAGAGAAGAAACCGCTGGTGACAGAAAGCAATTCAAGTAGGGGAGAGAGATTACTGTATTCAGGGGATTGCAGAGCAGCTCAGCCTCTCGTGACGACAATTCCACCTTCGCATTTGTTAGTCACAACAGAACAGCCACAAACCCCGAGATCCCCTGGATCTACGAATGCCGATATAAACACAGGTGATAAACTTGCTCCACCTCATCACACTGCGGATGCTGAGCAAAATGGAGCCGATTCATAGGCTTTACAGCGACCAGGACTCGCCTGCCTTCACAGCCTCTTCTGCAGGAACCGCACGGACTTCTTTCGCTCTTGCTCCCCTGCTGTCCTACTGTATCAGAGACCAGAGCAGCAGACAAAAGACAACGGGGAGCTCTGATAGAAGAGGGCAAGACTGCCAAGTAGAGGGTCAAGCTGGCTATTCTGTATGTATTTCAAAGCAGTTGTCACGTTTAGGTAGAGAATGCAGCAAATGTGTATTTTGAAAGTGGAAAGAAAGGGAAAGTCAAATTGTTATGGACCGAGAGAGGAATGGGAGACCGTGATGAAGTTCATTAATTACTAAATTCAGAAAAAAAAGTCTAAAAGATACAATTTTAGAAGCATAAAACAGCAAGTCACCTGAGCTCTGGTTTTAGTCAAAAGGTAACTTTTAAAATTAAAACAGAAGAATGGGATTTGTACAGTAATTTCTTACAACAGTGCAAATAAAGACTCCGCAGCAAGAGAGACTCCAGCTTGCCAGTCCCTCTGTAAGTGGGCAGGGAAAACAGAAGATACACAGGATATATGAGGGACAGAGTCCACACAAATTGACAGGATTTTGGTTTTACACATCAGGTTCATTAGACAAAAGATTAAGTGAAGGCAGCTATTGTAAGCAGTGGATCATAATAAATTTGTAAATAAAGGCCTCCAAGTATTCTGACAGGAAAAATGTAAGCTCTATTTTAATTAATTTTAGAAAATACAGTTTATTTAAGAAGTTGCCTAATATGGTCAGCTCTTCAGACACAAAAACTTTAGTCTGCAACACAACATTCCACTACCACACACATCTATGATATAAAGAAAATTTTATTTTATCAACTCCTGTGAACAAAACAGAGTTCATATGGAGAAGCCAAGTAGGGAGCTAATGTTTATTTACATATGGGATTTAGACTGTGTGCTAGCAGATCTCTCTACAAGGTCTTTTCTTATCTCGGAACACAACTCCCCCATATTATAGGCATTTAACAGCACGACAAATTCGCACAAAACATGAAAGTTTATCTAACGCAAAATAAGTTAGAATACTGTTTGCACATGGAATATGGAGTTGCATTAGCAAACTGCAAAGAAAACCAAGGCAACTATGGAATTCGAATGAAACAGTATTAGCTACCATTAATTATATACAGTCAGTTAAGTATCACACACTAACAAAAAGTTTACATTTCCCATTACTTACACTGAAGTGCAAACAGAGTGCACACCTCAGCTGCCACGACAGTAATTATTTTTCTTTCACACACACGTATTTCCTGCATTTCCCAGGTTTCAAACACACTGCTCAATAGCTACAAAAGCCTTTTTTTTGGTTGTGCACATCCCATTCACAAGTTTGGGTGCTGGGAAACTAAGGAGAAGGAAGAGGCAATTTTACCAAACCCTACAACCCAAATTTCAACAGCATAGGAGAGACATGTTCTAGAGCACACTACAGCACCTTACAGCAGTTTCAAAGCAGAACCATGACTTATACACACTACGAACTTTCCTCAGAAGTCTCCATCAGTTAAATATGAGCTCTCAGTTTCCACGTTGATACCTGTTTAACTTCATCAGTTTTTACAAGGCTAGATTTTGCATTCGGCTTCAGACTGCAACGTCCAACCTGGGAAGCAGGGATAGAATTAGACAAAATTACACCCAAGACAACTGAATGAGGAGATGTTTACAACAAAAGCAGTTTGTAAGAGTTGCTGCCCTTCTCTTAATGTAGGAATAAAATAGTAAGCCTGTGCAATTGCTTTAAGTATATTTATTCTTCAGAACACTCAAGGGTAAACAATTAGCCGCTTGATTGTAAGTTCATGAAATTATTCTGCTTTAGCCAGAAAAAGTCCATCTTTCTGTATCTACTCCTCCTGGACATGCTGGTCTCTTCCAGGACTTTTTAATTCAGCTGTTAGATCCTGGAACAAAAGCTATTCCATAAATAAGCTGTTCCAGAGTCTTATTTTGATCTTTGAATCTGGAACCAGCTATGCAATGCAATGGTCTGCAGCAGCCAAAATACAAGCCTGGCTGTTTTTAACACGTTTCTCATTTTCCCTTTGGGGGGCGGGGTGGGGGGGGAGGGAGGATGATGGAGGAAAAAAGTCAACAGGGAAATTTATTAAGACTGCACTAGAGCTATGGACTTACTACAGCCTGTAAAATACATGCCGCATTTCATTTGCAAAATCCTTGTGGTAACTGAAATTTTTTAAAAAAATCATCACAGCTGGAAATAGAAACACACACCTTAGTTTTCCTTAAGTTTTCAGCCAAACTGCTAGCCATGCATGTAAGTGGCAGCCTTCAAAGAATGTCTGGATTTCCGCATGTTTCGCATTATTATGTCCCTCCATTAGGCTAACAAATGCCACAGTTCAAACTTATCTCCCTCTTAAGGTATAAAGATAGAATTGCTAAGCAGAGAGACTTAAATTACTGCCACCTATTTCCATGCATCTCTTCTAAGCATTCTGAGGCTTGTGGAAGTCTCTAACAAATAATCATCAGTACTGCTGAACAGTGCAAGACAAAGTGGTTTGCGCAGGCGGCTCTGCAGAAATCAGTGTTCTAAATCACCTTAGTCCAATGGCTCTGTCTACCGTACTTTTCTTGTTCATACCAAAAACTATTTTTCATGGGCTTTGCAACAGCATTCAGAATCACATCTCATTCTGGATAAAGATGCAAACTGTGTGGAAATGGTGCTACCTCAAAGAAAAATACTACAGCCAATGCTTTCATTTTAATTTCTGAGCACATAGCACATGTTAGTCAGAACTCTCCGTACTTTCCTAGCTCCTAGTATCTTTGACTGTAAAATTAGTTACTCAATAAGCACCCGCCAGTTACCATCAAGCAAATGTCCATAGTTCAGTCAACTATGAGCTGAATTTTTAAAGTCACAGAGTCACAGAATGTTCGGGGTTGGAATGGACCTCTGTGGGTCATCTACCCCAACCCCCCTGCCAAAGCAGGGTCTCCTACAGCAGGCTGCGTCAGTCTTCTAAATGTTTCATTTTTCCTCTTGGCGCATCTAGAAGTGTATTTACCAGTCTTAAGACACCCAAAAATAATTAATCTTTGAGATTCTCTGCCTTGATTATACTTGAAAAAAGCAACTACCTAGGCTGATGGCTTAAAAACATTGTAGAGGAGTTGCAGACTCGTAAAAACTCTGCAGCTCTCCACAAAAACAGCAGTCACTTCAAGAATATAAAAATACATTCTTATATAAAAACATACCAGTGTGATCTCCGGACTAGAAAATGGAGAGCTATCAAAAGATCGATTTTCTTTGTCCAGGGAATCATCTTCATCATTTTTATGTGCAAATTTCTGCTTTAGTGCATGAGTTAGTACAGCAACTGGATCCCAGTCTGAACTTCGCCTCTTTTTGGGTTTAGAAAGAGGAGTACCTCCAGGTGACCTACAAAAAGAAGGAAGAAAAAAAAAAAAAAAGAATTATCGTCTCCTGCCCTTATTTCTCTGCCGAGTGATGCAAAAACCCAGAAACACAACTTTTGTATACACCCTATCCTGTCAATCCCTGATTAGGCCAAGAACGCTGCTAATATTATTTTACAACAATTCACACAGGACTAATACAAGCACACCCAATGACTTGTCAACCAGATTCTTAGCTTGCAAATACAATTCGATGCTGTTCCATGAAGAGAAACGGCAGTAAACCAAGACAAACAATTAAAGTATTGCAAATAAATAATGAGAAAAAAACCAAAATGTGCAGCTTTCATAGTAGGTCTCATTTATAAGTTATATTAAGGTATGTTAGTGGGAACCTCTCACTAATGTATTTCATAACCATTGTGAACATAATTTGATTTAAACTTAATTAATTTTAAGTTTGGAATAGTATGCCTTTCTATGGTCTCATGAGAAAGAATAAACTTTAAAAATTCCTCAGAGCAATTATATTTAAAGAAAACAATCACTTTAAGTCATATATGCAGGCAGGTCACCATAAAGCCCCATTTATAAAATCCCACTTGAAGCCAAGGTTCAATTATTAAAAAAAAAAAAAAAAATCAGATTTGGCACAAATGCTCCGAAGTTTTTCCCTCCAAGCAAGCACCTGAGCGTCCAAATATGAAAATTTTATATGCAACAATTTAAAATTAGTTTAATTTAGAAAAACTATTCTTACCAAACTAAAAATCAAAAGATAGCACAGAAATGTAAGATCAAAACAGCACCTGCACCCCAAAACCTAACATAAATGTGGAAACTAGTGACTAACCCAATCCCATCCTTCTAAAAAAAAAAAAAAAAAAAAAAAAAAGAAAAATCTAGATATATTAGCACTTTACTAGCAGAAGTGTCATCTCCAGGCCAGTGAATTGTACCTATTAATGCACTGACAACACTGAGCTCTAAGTCTAGCAGTCACAGTAGACACCATTTAACATGAAACCTGAAAGGACCAAGTTCACCCTTCCTATAAAATCAAGCTGTAGGAGCACTTGCCCAGTGTGTAAACTGGTGCTTGGGTGGTAGAAACTGGGATCTTCAGGCTCTCAACTTCCAAGAACAGAGGTCTTCCCTTTACAGTGCACACAAACTACTATCAGACTGCTAGCATGAAAGATTCTAGCAAATTTGATCATCATTACTCCCTCCAACAATACAAATTCATTATTCAGTGAAGTTCTACCTTCAGAACACAAGTAGATGCCTAAATCCAGAAAGCATTTTAGATGCACACCTGCCACTTCCTACTAATTATGCCTCTGCTCAGCATGATGGTTGTTAAAACTGTCATGCTGAACATTTCACTTTCTTTATTCACCATACATGAAATTATATGGAAGAAAACTTATATAAGGAAACACACTAGTTTACTTAAGTGCACTTTGTATTTTCTTTATTTACTGTGGAAATGTCATCAAAACAGTTAAGAAATGCTTTAGAGTTGCATATAGATAATTTGCTGAAGACTTGTGCTAATTATTTTCAGGGATAAAGCTCACAGTTAAAAAAATGCTGAAATAAGAATTCAGTAAGTTTTGGTAAGTGACAATCTTCCCACGTTAAGAGTTCCAAATATTCGTTATTGACTTAGTTGTTCTTATATACTTTCTCAACTCAAGAAGTTCAGAAAAGACATCTGACAACCTCCATTAGACCTAGCATAGCAGAGCGACACTGACCCAAAGAGGTACTGCAGTCTTTAGAAATGCATCGTTTTTGTAATGTCAACCGTGCTTATCATCAAAACAACAGACCATTAAAAATATTTATAATCCAACTACACTATTGAAATACAAATTTATCAAACATTTTCAATACAAGACACAGCATGTATTTTCTCTAATACTTCAAAGCTATGACCAGAATACTTTGAGTATGCCAACAGTAGTTTTCCAATGTTTTCCCAAGGATTTGTCCTTTCACAGTGAATCCAAAAAGTGTTTTTGTTCAGATGAATTTCCCGTGACTGTGTAGGCAGCTTTGTAAGAGATGTCCAGATAGCAACACACCCGCCTCCCCACACCAACCTGGGATTTGTATACTAAAGCATCAGACTAGTCTTAAACACTGTGATACTCAGCATGTTTTAAAGGCATCTAAAAGCCATGGCACAAGTATCTTACATGCCAAGCTGTGAACTTAGAAGTTGCCAACTTAAGTTTGTCAGTAGTAGCTGCTCATTAAATGATGTTTCACACTGGTAACCTCTGGTGCTGTGCTGTGATGCTTACACAGGCTTGGCTTACTCAGACACACATTCAATTCAACCTACCTCTCAACAGCTCGCAACTGAACTTTGTTTAGGTCTTTCAAAACATCCATCATACTAGGAATGTTCTTTGTCCCCTGGTGATCAGCACTATCAGCTGTAGTTGAACCACTGTTTCTTGCAGCACGACGTTGTTTTATAAGTTCAACTGCCGAATTACTAGCATCAACACCAGATGGTACACCAGAAGGAAGTGGAGGAGGCGAGGGAATTACAACGTGATTGTGAGAGACGGACAATGGTGTAGAAGTCATGGCTGGCACTGGGTGAAATCCATCTGGAGTGCTCAATGTTTTAAAGGCTTCTGGATGCAGTTATAAAAGAAAAACAGTGACTTTATTTTTAGTCAGTATACCTTCACAATTAACAGCATTAAGCAACATTCAAGCTCAGTTTTAAGTCAAGATAAGATGGCCGTCTTAAAGCACTTTCTTACACACCTCACCCATTATACCACAGAAGAATTCTATTTAAAACAAAGAACATTTTTCTTTGAGCCACAGACTCAGAACACATGAAATAAGGAATCAGAGGGGTCTTGTGCTGCTCTCTCTATTTGCATCTTTAACCTAAGCACTACATAAATCAGTAAAGCAGCACTCCAACAGCACATCAGCCTGCTACTACATACAGCTCATTTGCAGTGGTCTGAAGCTTAAAGTGACCCACACGAAGCAAAAGCAGAGAACCACAAAACATGTAAAACAGACTACAGTACTGAGTGCAATGGAGAAGAGACAAAAGGAGAGCCCACAGAACAGCTAACTGAATCAGAGAGGTGCCTCACAATGCCACACAAAGGTAACCACCTCGCACCAGTCCAAATATTTCAACAACCACATTGGGGTTAGTCTGCAAGTAAGACAATCAAGACCTCCAAACTTTTAAGGAAGGCAAAGAAAAAAAAGTCACCAGATAGTTGATCTCCAATACTAGCCTCGACCTTTGATACTCTAGTGACATCTATTTGCAGCACTTGTTTTTGTTAAAGCCTGAACCTGACTGACTTAGAACACTTTTTCTATCCATATTAATAACTCCTCAGAAGAAGTACAAAACTCAAAATGCATAATTAAGTCTGCAAGTTTTTTAATCAGTAAACAGTACTGTACTGATAGTGTTCTTATTAAGCTCGTCACAAACATGGAAATAACTATAAAGATCACTTAGGATCAGCTGCATTCAAAACTGGCAAACAGGCCACAAAATATAAGGGCGGGGGGGAAAAAAAGGAAAACTGGTTTGCTTCAAACCAGAAGGGCTTACGTGACGGAAAGCTTCCCAATGTCTGTGCTGAAACAATCACAGCAATCTGAGCACGAAGAAAGGTCAGCTCATCTTCAAGAGCAGAAATTTTCTGAAGCGCTGCTTGATCAACAAGACTGTGTTTTTGTGTACTGTGTTTTGGGACACTTTGTATTGAATCTATAGATGGATGTAGGTCATAAGCTGTACTTTTTTCTTTTCTCTGTAATTCCGTCCTAGAAAGCAACAAAAGACACAGTTTCAGAAGGCTCAGACAACAATGGAAATATCAAAAATTACTCACTGTCTGTTAAAGCAAGTAACCATCATTCAGCAAGACATAAATTTGCAAACTATTTAAGAAAACTTTACACTCTTCATGACTCATAACCTTAAAAATATTTTAAGTCTGCTTTTGCTCAAGAACAATGCAGAGCCTTGAAAAGACATCATACAAAATAGTCAGATAATTTATTCAGAGATAGATTATACATCATAAAGTCATAACATAGGATTGAACTGTTATTATTCGATAACTATTAGACTGACGCCACAAAAGTATCTCTCCTCCCTACCTGAAACAGTAGATATGAAAGGTAGGAACAGCAAAGAATAATGATCTCTTAATTAGGCTTCACAAATTTCAGTCATTTATCAAACTCTGCAAGATGAATGCTGCAAGCATCAATGAAGTTGCAATCTTCCAGAAAATATACTGAAGAGTGTGTATTAAAACTCATTATTACAGAACAAGAACCTCATCTTCTGCAAGCTACATACGAACACAGACTGTATTAGAAAATTGTGCTACAAGTCTCAGGTTTTGATTTTAAAAACTGTTTCAAGTCTGTGCCTGCAGAAATAACCTTAAAATATAGAATTGAGTGTAAACTCAAACTACCAGAATTTCATTGTGAAACAAAGAAAGAAATTAAGTTTAGTTATTCAAGATACACTAAGTTTTTACTGAAAAAAAACCCAGACTTTTTCCCCTTATATAAATCATCCTTTTACTTCAAATCAGACCTGCAGCATTGCTTTTCTGATTTGCCAAAAACCCTTGCTGTTCACACTAGCTCAGAATGAAAAGATATCAGTTAGAATACTTGTTCTTGAAAAACATCCCACAGAGCCAGGGGAGGAGGAGGAAAGAATGGAAACAACAAAAGAATGAAGTTTCATGGATCTGTGAATCAGACTGGCTAAAGAATGGCACAAGCAAGATAAAACAGGCCACAGTTCCTTTTAATACAATTCTTCCAGTATTTTAAGCTGTTGCAAAAGAACTTTAATAATTCAACAGTAACGTCTCAAGAACTGTACGATGAAACGCAACTTTATCAAAACTTCTCTAATAAAAAGTGTGCCATTTGAAATCATCCAGGTTCTTGTAGTTTCATTACCAGCAAGCAGCACAAAGATCTCAGACAAACACATGCCAATATGAATTAGAATTACATTGTCCGATACCAGTGTAGTACAAGACAATACAAGTGCCCAAATTTTAATCTTGATTCTGGCTCTGACTCGCCGTCTGATTTTGAACAGATCCTTCAGAGGAACAGTAAGAAAACTTCCTGTATCTTCTCAGGGGGAGGAGGGGAAGACAAGACTTGTAACTTTTATACTATTTGTGCCTGCAAATTCCTAGATAATTTGTCATTTCACAGTACTTTTAACATTTTATAATTGTAAAAATACTTTCCTCTAGCACTCTGTAAAAGCTAGAAAGAATTATCTAAACTATATTCACGTTCAATTTTTAAAGTAAACAGATTATGGGTTTTTTTCCATCAAAGTAACCATCAAGGTTTATACACTTTCGCCTTTACAAAGTTTATCAAAATGGTTGCAAACTAAAAGGATAAAGATAATCTTATGGCATGTTGCAATCCCCAAGTTTCCCTTAAACTGCCTCTACCACTAAATGCTTTGTGAGTGAAAACAAATTAAAATATCAGGAACACATCCGACATGCTATTAGGAAAACAGGTGACTCAATTCCAGTAATCTTTCAGATAAGAATACTCTACATAGTAAATTTCCAGGTAAGCAGGAACTTCCCTCTCCAAAAAGCTCAAAAAGTTTCCAGGGTTGGTTTAGCTGGAACCCTGAAAGAGCTAGGAATGAAGGAAAAACACAAACACAAAACCACACACCACCAAGAACAGAAGACACAAGTTACTTCTATTACTCCTTCTTACACTTCTACTTACCTAAGCCTTGTAAATGCTTGTCCCTCATCATTTGCCACCCACAGGACATCAGCAAGTGATGGAGCTACAGAAGTTGGAGCTGTGCCTTGTTCATCATAACCCAATGGACTTGGGTTTTGAACAAACTAAACACAAATAAACAACAGGAACGAAGTATGAAGAGAAGATTCAGTAGATGCTGAAAGTTCTGCCTCAGCAAAAGAAATTTTTAAACAGGACTATATTTTAAACAGTATTGTAAGCAAGTTGAAAACAGCGAGCATAAGGGATGCAACACACGAGTTACACAAGCTAAAAAGAACAGGAAAGCTATCACTAAATTAAGAAACTAGAAAGTTTAAATAGTTTAAGCATATGTATGACAATAAATCACTTACCCGTAAATAAGGTCTTGGGTAGGGCTCTAAGGAAAGAATTGTCCCAAGTCTACGGACAACACTTCGAGTTGATCCATATTCCTTTTTTTGGCAAACAGATATGACCTAAAAGTCAGAATACCTTTTAATCCGAGAAACAAAAATCAAAGCCCTCAGTTCTTACAATCAACGTTATTAATTAATGTTACATGTAATTAAATATAACACAGTTACATTAACCTAACTTCTCAATGCTCTTCTCAAGCTGAAGTCCAAAGAGGCCTAAACTGGTTTTAACATACTGTTTCCAAAACATAATCAAGATACAGCCTGTACCCAGTATATCTCAGAGTGGCAGAAAAGCAAATAGAGAATGTAACAGCTACCTCACGCAGCCAGCGATGTTCTGAGACACTGACAAAAGAAGTGGTGCACATCTGAGTAACCATCTGCATCTGTACAAGTCTTGAGGAAAAAAATTAGTAAAGAAATAAAATAAATTTAACGTACCTTGACCTGATACTTCCTTATGACTGCACATAACTGCTGGAAATGCCTTCCTGATGAGACTGCTGAAGGCAGGCATGTTCGGATTGTACGACTGATACTCCTGCCGAATATGCGAGTTTCCAAAAACACGGCCTGCCAAAAAACCCGAGAACTCCCGACAATGAAACCAGACAACGAGGACAGCTCGCTCAGACCAGTACCCCTAGAAACACTTCCGTAGTTTCACACAAATCAGCCGAGCACTTCCTCAGAACCACGAGCTGCAGCCGTGTCCCGCTATTGCCGTCCAGGACCGGCGAGCTGCCCACAGCCTCCCGGTCAGCCTGCCCCGCTTCCCACACACCGCCTTTCCCAGGTCTCTCAAAACACGGCATTAACTGCTACCAGGGAATCGTTACCTAGCTTTGCACAGAATCACAGAGTGGTAGGGGTTGGAAGGGACCTCTGGGGGTCATCTAGTCCAACCCCCCTGCC